ATTAAAAGAAATGGAGAATAAGATCTAAAATTAATTCAGAGGAGGTTCAAGGGATAATAAAAAGGTTCGCCGATAATAAAGCTCATTTGTCATGCAGGTACGGCGAGGAGTTTGAAATAACACTCTCTAAATCACCATCCTCTTTTTTTTTAATACAAGCTTCATGGATCACACCCTTGGCGACTGTACAAAGCTGATATTGCACTCGAACTGAACAAAGGCTGATGATGAATTAGACCCTTCATTCTGCATGACCCTACATCATGGCTCCTGGAAACTGCCTAAAACAAGACTTGAGTCTTCAGCTAAGTTAGCACCACTGCAGTTCTTCAAAAGCTAAATTCTGCTTTGTCACATGCTCACAACTAAGCACTGTCAGCCTATTGGCCACAACATTAAAAGCCCCCATGAAGTGTACAACATTCAAGAAAACTCTGACCCTTGTCTGCGTGTTATTTAACACAAACTACACCTGGGTGCACCACAATGGCAACAACATACTGCAGTGGCAGCTACCTCGTGATAATAATGGATTGCATTTATATAGCGCTTTTATGAGACCCTCAAAGCACTTTACAATTCCACTATTCATTCACTCTCACAGTCACACACTGGTGGAGGCAGCTACAGTTGTAGCCACAGCTGCCCAGGGGTAGACTGACAGAAGCAAGGCTGCCATATCGCGCCTTCGGCCCCTCTGGCCAACACCAGTAGGTGAAGTGTCTTGCCCAAGGACACAACAACCGAGACAGAAAGAGCTGGGGATCGAACCGGTAACCTTCCGGTTACAAGATGAGCTTCTCAACCCCCTGAGCCACGGTCGCCCCCATAGTGCTTTCCACCACACTGTGAAAACTGCATAAGAACAGCTGTTCGAACTTGACGGAGCACGAGGTGTTGACCAAGTATGCAGATTCTCCAGATCACAATCAGCAGAAGTAGGAACTGTATTCAATTCAGTTTTATTCATATGCCGCCAAATCATTTTATATTGTAAGGTAAAGGCTGTACAAAAGTAAAGAGAAAACCTCAACAATCAGATAACGCCCTATAAGCAAGGACGGTGGGAAGGAAAAACTCTCTTAACAGGAAGAAACATTCAGTAGAACTAGGCTCAGGAAGTGGTGGCAATCTGTCACGACCAGTCGGACTCTATGAGGTATACGGACATAGTCCCAAGGGTTGGAAAGGGAAATTTCCTGATTTTAAACTAGAAAATAGCATAAATGATGAATAGAGGAGATCACTGTTTACAAATGGATGTGTGACTGTGTAAAAATCCCGGAGAAAATGAACTGCAATGAGCTGACTCTACTGCTCACTTGATTTACGACCTCAATTAACACTTTTGCAATGAATTGATGGTCTTTATCACACGTCTTATTTAATGCAGCATGATGTTTGTTTTTATGTTGCTCCAGTTTAGAGGAAAGTGGATGACAGGGCAGGGTGTGTGTTAGGGCGTGGCTTTGTTTGACTGACAGGTCACTACAACTACCATTACTTTGTAGTGTCCTCAGTTTCATAGTCAGACTCAACGCTGACTCATAACATTTGATTTCAAAACCACAATATGGCAAAGAGCTGGTTTCAAGAGGGGCTTGTCCATCCGTTAACAATGTTGGCTCTTTCTCTAGGTTGCCACTTTGAACAGAGCCATAGCAGCTGTGCTTAAATGTTTAGAAATATTACAAACAAAAGGTATACACTGATCATTGCAAGACCTCATCCAGAACTCAGTGTACCTGTCAGCAAGTGCAATCTGCAAAAACAGTCATTAAATGTGCGAAGCTGAGACTTCGCACTTGATTAGGATTTTTGAATGTTGTTCTATTCCTGGCTGGAAGCAGAATCAGCAGGTGCATTAATTGTTTGAGGCAAGGTGCTTCCAACACTCTCGATGCTTTACCTGGATAGAGTCTGGATAAGGCCGTCTGTGATGTAACCACAGGACAACAGTCTAAGTATGACTAGCTCACCATTAAAAAAAGGCCATTTCTCACTCAGTTATTTTTTAATGTCATGGACAATGGCTGTAAGATCATCTTTTGGTCATGCATATGTTCTACAAATGTCAGGTGCTGACTGCAGATGGAGATGAGCAGGCTGTAGAGCAACAAACTCAGGCCAGATAATTAGAGAGAATTTGGAAGCCACATTGAAAACTAACATGCAGAGAGATTGGGGTTTAGCTGATACTGAAAACATTAAAGGCAGAATACAGCCTGTTATACCTGATCTAGGAGAGGTAATGGATGATTCTCATTGTGCAATTACAGCGACTTTAGTTTATTCTGTCTCACCCAGACCTATCAGTTCATCTCATGGACGTCGGGAAATGATTAGGTGAAAACTTCTGTTAAGTTTATCTGATGTTGAAAGCTTGTGTTTTTTTTTTTCATTTTTAGGTATTGATTTTAGAAGTTTAGTCCTCATAACTAAATTTCAGGACTTTTACGGTTCCTTTTTTTCACCAGATTTCCTTGAAAAGTATATTAAAAATCCAAGAAACTCTTAGGATCATTTGCCATTGTCATTCAACCCATGTCTGGGGTTGTTCTATCTAGAAAAAAGTCATTAAGTTTAAAATGATCGCTCGGGGTGTATGGGATATTTTGTACAAACAAACAAAAGCAAAAAACGAGCCCTTTATTGAGCTGATGAACAAACTAGCAATAGGCAAAGTACAAAACTTACTGAACAAGACAAACCCTTGACAAACCCTTGAGAACAACGACAGGGGAACTGAGCAGTACACTCAGGGGCGACATCATGAATAATGAGACAAGGGAATTTAGACTCGACACAACGGACACTCGACCAGGGACTAAGGCAATAAAACAGGAAACACAACATAAGACTGTGACTAGGACTTGGCGACTTGACACAGGGATCAAAGTTAGGCACGGAGACAAAACACAGGTCAGAGATCCGTGGTCTGACTGTGGGAAACAAAGGAATCGCAAAACTAAATATTACAAAACCCAGAAGAAAAAACAGAATGTAAATGGGGCTACAAGGGACATAATAAATATGTATACAAGACAGAGGTAGCCACTCTGACATCACCATTGTTGACGACCAGCTGTGTAAGTGTGAGCACTCATTGTAGCCTAAAAGCAATGAGGCTGCGTTCCCTATTTGGTGTAAATGCGTTATAAAGGGACATCACAATATTTTGACTTCAGGCAAATTAAATGAATGTGCAGTAACTAAAGCTGTGCACACTTATTTTTGATATTATCATAAATGCATCATGGACAGAATACTGACACTTGACAATTTTTAAATATCAGGGTTTTTGTGAACACACAATTATCATGATACTCTTACACTTAGACAAATGAAAGACCAACCATCAACAGTAGTTTAAGGAATATTGCAGTGTTAATTATTTCCCTTTTGGATTTTGTTACAGTACAACATATTTTATTGTTTGCAAAAAAATGTCTAAATGTCTAATGAGACCATATACAATATGAGGGCTTATGAATCTCGGCCTCATTATCAGTGACCTGCATTATTAGCCTAGAGCACATTTACGTACACCTAACTGCACTAGTCTTGGAATATTAGTATAAGGAATAAAAGTATTTTACTGTATAAGACCTACTTAGGGGAGCTGTAACATCTGTGTTAGAGAGATGCCGACCCAATCCAAACTCCCGGCTCTTTATTTGGGAAATTAAAAGGTGTTTAAACGGCTGCATGAACTTTCTGTCTGCTTCTTCAGACTAATTGGAGCTGACATATATGCCCATTTTTAGCTCCAAGGTTCATGCTGGGCTGGTTAATTGAGTTTGTTGTGCTCAGGTGGTTTTAGTCATCTGGCTTTCAGTGTGCCACCTTTTAACACTGCCCAATCACAATCTACTAAGCTTTTCTTTAATTTGACTGTTGTTGAAGGTAGCAGCTCACTCCACGTGGCCATAGATTAGAGGATGTTGTACAACTTAAAGGTAAAAAGAAAAATAACCCAGGCATGGCCTGATTATTCCATAATTACTTGTTTCTTTATGTCTGGCTGATGCCTGCTGTGAGCATTTAAAGGTTTGAATAAGTTATTGCAGTATTTAAGTCACATTTCTTTCCATTACTTTTTAATCCAACTCAAACCCTGACATTTTCTCCCACCCATGGGGATAAGTCACTTTTGTAGTCTTATGAATAATCCTTAATAATTCAGTGTGAATGCTGCCAATTTAAATGTTTTCTTTTCTTTTTTGCCATTTTTTTTTTAGAATTCATTACTCCCTAAATGTGGAAAACTGGATTTTTGCAAGATTTTGTATTGGTCAAATGATTACTTGAGTAAATAAATCTCACTCATATAGGCATTACCAAACAAAGTACTGTCAGGCTACTGCTGAGATAAGAGATGTTTAACTGGTGAAGCTCACCGTCCACTCGTACAGACACATTCTCATAAATCAATATGTATTTCAAACCCAAAGGCCATGCTCTTCTGCAAGGCTGAACATAGCTTCCATTAAACTCCTATATGCCTCAAAGTAAATTAGGCTTACCATGGACCAAAAACTGAACAGGTCTGGCCCTCTGAGAGCTGGATTTCTTTCCCTGTGCTGTCCACACACAAACACAAACAAGCCTCCACCTATAACCCAAATTTGCCATAACCAGCCAGCCTGAACTAACTTGACATCACTGATTGGTTATCTTTTATAGAATCTGATGGCTGCCTCTCTGTGACCCATTTTTTTGTTATTCTGAGCAGGATGCACACATTGAGGCTTTGCTGTGCTGAAGTCCTGACTGTCTTGGGTGTAAGTGATTTTATTTAACATGTTTTATCGATTCCAGACCTTTAAAGATGATAGTTTCCCGAGTACTGCAATTTCAAACCAAAACAGAGCTTTACACATAACCCTGCACTCACCTCTAAATAGAAACGATCCTTCTTTTTGGTCCTCACAAATAGCTGTGGACTCCCACTTTGTGTGTATGCCTCTGTGTGTGTGTGGTGTGTTTGTATATGTGTGTCTTCCCGCCCCTTCACACTGTCCTCTCTCCTCCGGAGCACAGAGCCGCACAGAGACCCGACTGTGGCACGCTGCAGGTCTGCGTCCGTGTGCTTTTCTCTCTCTCGCTCTCTGGTGTTTGGCTCTTCCAGGAAGCAAACGGCTCACTGAGCACCCATTGCGAGGTTTCCCCCCCTTCTATTTCTTTTACACCGCTTTTTCACATGCCGCCGTTACAGCGCTGGGGGTAGGGGACGCACTGTGACCGACCAAGCAGCGATGAATATGGCGTTTATTGGGGACGCGGACCCCTTCACCGCTTCGATACCTGCCACCAAAGTTGAACTGACGGTCTCGTGCAGGTGAGTGCAGACCACTTTTGCTTCACTGCGTTGAGATGTACAAAACAATAAATATTCCTTTCACTGTGGTATCTGCCCGGGAGTTCCGTGCAGGCTGCATAGTAGGGAATAAACCCAGCACAAACTCGCTTTGCGCTCGTTGTTTCAATTTGATTTGTTTGTACAGTGCGGTGTGGAGTCACGCCACTTTTCTCTTTATACGAGAGCAGTGGCAGGTGAATGATTATATATTGGATTTGTGCATGAATGCACGTTTTCTTGCGCGTCTGTTGCCAGTAGTTTTCCTGTGGATGAGCGCCGGATGGAGGTCAGAGTTGACATGTCTTTACACTGCTGTCACGTTTCCGAGCTTCGGTGAAGCTGCCACACGCAGAGCTGCAGAAATTTATGTTTGCGCCGAAGCAAAGTGTCCACTTCACCACGTCATCATCCTTAAGAAATATTTATTTCATGTGGGAATTTCCTGCAGGGAGGACGGGTGGAGGATGCTGGAGCAGGCTGTTTGATTCGCGCTGTGGCAGTTTTACTACAGTGGACACATCCAGTCAGCTTTTAAAAACACACCGACCATTTTCAGGCTGCCGCTTCTTACGTGGAAGGATTTGCTGTTTGTAATAATATGAAATATGCTATATCTGTCACTCTATCCATCCAATCATTTCTCCTCTCCATGTATCATCTGGGGTCTCTCAGCAGGACTGTCAGGACTGTTGAGAAGATTAGGATTAAATTTAGATTCAATGAAATTTTAAAGTTGAGAAAGTAAGGTGTCATCATGGTTTTTGAGCTCTTGGATTTTTTTAAAAGCCAAGGAGACACATTTTAAATCCCATGACGCAATGAAAAGCAGCATGTCCTCTTCAATGACAAAAGTTTTTTTTAAATTGAAATATAGATCAGCGAGTAATTTTATGTTGATAGAATTGAATGTTTAGTGAACTACAAAGATCTACAGTACAGTGTGCTATTGCAGTGGATGGTAAAGCCCACTGTGTAAAGTGTCCAATCAAAGCAAAGCTTATGATTCACACATCACAGAATCTTTAAAATGGAGCAGAATGTGACTGAAGATTTACATAATAAAACAATCTGCATAAGCGCTAAATCGTTTAAGCCTCCTTTGAAGCATGAATTAAAAAGAATCAACCAATCAATTCAACACGATCAGTGCTGAATTGAAGCTGAATTTTTAATTTCTTTTTATTATGATCAAAGGTTCATTTGGTAACTTTTCAGGTGTGTGTGTGTGTGTGGGGGGGGGGGGGGGGTACGGGTGCATCCATTTTCTCTTCTTCAGTTTGTCGTCTGAATGTGTAAAATCAGTAACGTGTTTTGACACAATCTGGGGATTTTTAGTTATCCTGGTTTGTTTGCCCCTAAACTGAAGAGGCAGTCACGCCCCAAACAACTTTTCAATATCATAATGCTGTATAAGAGTAAGATAAGTGACAAGGAATTCAGGGCATGTCATAAAACATTTTATTTTTTTATTTGATTTAGTCGGTCGTTCAGGTCTATGTTCAGGCTGACATCATGTAGTCTTTAAATCTTTATTTCACTGCAAAACTTAATTCTTGTAAACCTTATTTGAGACTTTTAATGAACAGAAGAACAAAGACTTTGGACTCATTTAAATTCCCGCTGACCTAAAATCTGCCAGCTGTTTATGCAGATGGAGCTTCTGTTGCTGTTTTAGTTCTAAGATAAAAGCTTTGCACAGCAAGTCAGCTTGGTAATGAACTTCATGATTTTGAGATCTGAACTTGTGAAGATATTTTGTGATTGATTATGTATGTGTTTGTTTGTTTGTTTGTTTGTTTTGTTTGTTTGTTTGTTTGTTTGTTTGTTTTAAGGGGAAAAATGGCATCATAAAAGAAAAGCTCCCGCAAATTATGACTCATCTCCGCATTCTTATAAAAAGCTCTTTTTATTCATGCAAACATAATTTATGTGCTTTGCCTTATGCATATTCCTGACCGTGAAAAGGAGCGAGCAGTTATAGAAAATGGCATGGATGGAAAATGGACAAACTGCAGTGACATTTCTTTAATGCTTGCAAAGTCACTTTGAGTGACAGAGGCATTAGGTAATGCATTGTTTCTGTCACCACAAGCTTTCAAGCTTGTGGAGCCAAATGATAGACAAAATACACAAGTCACCTTTGACAAAATGAGTAAAGCTTCCAGGGAGCCAGTCGTGTATAGTGTTGGGATGTAGAAGCTTTGCAGTTCACAACCAGCACAAAAATTATCCTAAAAAAGCTGTGCAATGGTGACGCATTAAACTGCACCACCTTTGGTTCGGGGCACTAACAACACTTGCAGTTTCATGTAGGCATTTGCTGTTATGTTTTTTCCTAATTGCAAAATTTTACCACTGTCTCATTGGAGCGTTAAACGAATTTTTAGGACTGACGACCAAAATCAAAAATAGATTCAGTTTTAGTGTCGTGTGTGTCAAAGAAAAAAGCCAAGTCCTGCATTGTAGGATTACTGCACTGCTTCATTGTTGTACACCAAACTGGCAGTCCTGGCATTTTCTTTTACCAAAGTTTGATATACTACATCATTTTGACACCGTTTTAGCTTGGTTTTCTTCTATGTTGATTTTAAAACAGGGGGAAAAAAACCTACAGAGACAGATTCCTTGGATGAACGCATGCATTTTGTCTGGTTCTCTGAGCAGCTGCCTTACATTGGACTGTGGCAGAAATCAAGAACAGAACACCTATCTGAATCAGGTTATAGCTTAATATTGTTTTACTGCTTTTGTTTGTTTTTTGTTTAAGTGGATATTGGCTGTTAAATGCATCTTTCGTGTGAAAATCTAGTCCAATAATTCACTGTACTAGTTCATTTTTTTTTGACAGAATAAACATGCTTTAGCTTTTTGATCTGCCCGAGGTGAAACCATTAATAGCCACACCAAAACAAAATTTACCAGTCCTCAGCTTGTGGAGAGTGTGATTTTCCCACTTTTGTGTTGACGAAGCTACTGAAGCATTCAGCCCAGATAGAGTCCGTCGCTGAGTGAAAGCTCCCTCACTCAATAAATCCAAACCGTCTCCGGACCCGTCACATGTGCAGTGAAGCAGCAGAAGTGACAGATTGATTAACTCAAGACAAATATGGTGTGTTAGTGAGAAGAAAAACCCCGCACAGCCATTTGCCTGAGTTTCCTCACTCATGATCACGAGGCCTTGATGACACAAACACAAGTCAGTGGAGTTTAATTCTGTGCGTGGACAGTAGACAGTGAGCGTGGCGAGTCTGTAGAGCTGCACAGGCAAATGAACCTTGCAGACAGTTGGGCGTTTTGGGAAGTGTTTGTAGGGAATGATGTTGGTGTTCGCGTCAGCTCGGCTGTCTTGTGATCTGAGTGGTCCACAGCGGAGAGATAGTCATGACCTTTGGGCACAAAAGCTACGAAGTGTATCCCTTTGAAGAATTGACGTGCTCTGTGTAGCTGTATTGAAGCCGGACGCCGACCTGCTGAGAGGCTGGTCGATGTGTCACAGCTGATGTTGCACTTTCCACGAGGAAGGTGAAGAAAGAGACAGAAAGAGTTAGTGGAGCAGGGAAGGAAACTATAGCGTGCAGGTTTCTTAGAAATCTTTTGTTTTAGTTCTAAATATAAATGGCTTAAAACAAAAATAACTAGGTTTCTCTGGCTTTTATGAGAAGTGAAATAGCGTTGTTGTTTTTTCTCCAGTAAATTTAGTGTCATTGGGAAGCACAGTTCAAGATTACTCAGCACCTGATAAAAGTGCAATCATCTGATTGGCTGCCTCTCGCAAACAGGTTTGAAATAGCAGGAGGGTGGAGCTTCTCTGCTTACAGCAGGAGCTCTGTGTCTGAAATGTCCATATTAGGAATTTCCAGTGTCACCAACATCATAAAGAGGCAACAATAGAACAAAATGTGTGAAACAGTTTGAAACTTAAACTTTTGGCTGACAGGGATTTCTTTTATGCTGAATCCATTATTTTAAATGTTGTATTTAATATCAACATCCACCATAGTAACAGTAGCTGTATGACAGAAAACAGAGAAAAGTACAGCAGGTCCCCTTTAAAGCCTCTGTGTCTGCTTTAAAAAGAAGCAATTTCTGGTACTGGTACTCAAATAACAGTAGCTTTCACTACCACTCTCACCCCAGGAGCCTGAGAAGAATGATGTGAAAGCAAAGAACACGCTGCGCTATTTTTCTTCAGTACGACTGTCTCATTTTCCACATACATAAACATGTAATCACACCAGCATTTTACACATTGAGGCTTTAAAGCTAGATAATGACTCCTTCACCGGAAGGCTCAGAATGGTACAGTCTCTGAAGATAAATTGTGGCTGGTGCTCTCGCTGTGGAGTCTGCAGAGATCTCCAACTGGTGCTGTGTTCTGCCAACAATTTAAACTCCTCTGTAATTACAAGAAAGAAAGCATGGCTGTGGTGAGGCTCATTTAGCAAACTAAAAGATGACACGTTTATTTGTCTGGTAACAGTGGAGCTTGATCTTTGTGTAGCACAGCTGATTGGGGCTGGTTAAAGAAATTAGACGAGGATAAATTAAAATCGTTTGGTCCGGTAGAAATGAAGCTGACTGGTTTGACTGTGAATTACCTGTTAACCAGTTGGGGCTAATGATTAGAGCTAACATACAAAATGCTTTACGTCGTTGAAATATTATTTAGACATTTTGAGATTGCAGCAAAGCACCTAAGAAACAAGTTAAAAATATTAAAACATTTCAATTACATAAGATAAAAAATGTATAATTTGACCTTGACATATACAAAATGAAAAAGGCCAATTTATTTTGTATCAATATACCATCTTTCAACTTTGATAGTAAAATAAAACAGGACCAAAAAGGTACACAGTAGCTTCAAAGTACAAGATAGCAGCGACATTGCTGCTGAAGATCAATCCGGTCGTTAAGTCTGACGTCACTAGCCGTGTCTGGACCTAAACTCCGCTGCTGGTCCATATATCAAACGATCA